CTCTGATAAGCACGTCATTTTAAGCTGGTGCACCGCTAGTGTAACTTTGTTTTCGTTTTGCGCAAGCTGCAACAGTTCCGTTCCGTGTAACACAAACACTCAGTTTAGCGGAACATTTACGATTAATTAACCGTGACGTTTTAAAGCGCGGTTAATCGCGAAACCGGTTAATCGCTGCATCCCTACCCCGCACCTGCCCATTCGCACTACCTCATAATTGAGATCGCCAACTTGCCGTGTGACCTCAAATGGTCCTTGCCATTTAGCAAGTAATTTGGAACTAGAAGTGGGGAGCAACAAAAGTACTTTATCTCCTGGTGTAAACTTATGAAGTTTGGTTCCCCTGCTGTACAGCGGGCTTTGTCTTTCCTGGGCCTGTAACAAATTATTAATTGAGAGCTACCCCAAAGTGTGGAGTTTTGTTCTCAGGTCCATCACATACTGAATTTAATTTTGACCGTCGGAAGGTACCTCCTCCCAAGCCTCTCTCAGTATGTCTAACACCGCACAGGGCTGACATCCATAGAGAACCTCAAAGGGGGAAAAGCCCATGGAGGTTTGCGGGACCTCGCGCACAGCGAACAAGAGGGATTCCAGCCACCTATCCCAATTTTTGGCGTCTTCGTGTACGAACTTACGAATCATTGTTTTCAACGTGTGATTAAATCGTTCCACCAACCCATCTGTTTGTGGGTGATAGATGCTGGTGCGATTTAATGCACAATAACTCGTATAGCTCGTGTAAAGTACGTGACATAAACACCCTGCCCTGGTCAGTGAGAATTTCCTTCGGAATTCCCACTCGGGAGATCAAATGAAACAGCGCGTCTGCGACACTTTTGCCGAAATGTTACAGAGCGCTACTACTTCAGGGTATCGTGTTGCATAATCCACCAGAACTAATGCAAAATGATACCCTCGTGTGGAACGTTCTAATGGTCCGATGAGTTCCATACCAATTTTCTCAAAGGGGACATGCATAAGAGGAAGGGGGCGCAAAGGTGCTTTTGGAGTTGCCGGTGGGTTCACCAACTGATATTCACGACAAAAAAAATCGGGTCATGAGACAATTCAGCGTTGCCGCCTGTCCTAAATGCCCTGCCATCGGATTACAATGAGCCTTTCCAAAGAGCATTTCCCGGCGGCTTTTTGGTACTAACAGCTGGGTTGTTTCCACTTTTGTTTAAGCGTCTTGGGTCACTCGAAACAACCTATCTTTTATAATAGTAAAATAAGGATAGGAGGACGGACGAGTTGGTTGGAGAACCTGACCGTCGATGGAACGGACCTGTTTAAAGGCATTTTTAAGTGTCTCATCTTGAGACTGTTCCAGGGGAAAATCATCTCGCTCCAAGAGGTTCTGCCTCTCAATAGCACTACATTCCCCCTGGACAGCCTCTGACGGTCCCGGTTCTTCTTCTCATAACTGCGCGTCCATCCCCATTTCCTGCTCTATATTTCCCCAAGAGACATCCACACTTAAATAACCCACTAATTGATTAAAAGCTGGCCAATTTGTTCCCAGAATAAGCGGATGTCAGAGGTGCAGGTTAACTGATACCTCCACACTATGCATTTGTCTCCAGAATTGAATGACGGCGGACTTTAATGGATATCTCACCACATCCCGTGCACACACCTCACCTGAACCATGCGGCTCCTATCCAATGCCTCCAGCGAAATCAGGCTTTGATGGATCGAAGGTTTGGTCACATCCTGAATCCACCAAAGCCTGATATATACCCCCCTAATACTCACTGGCATTTGGTACAGGCCAGCCTGATCAGGGGCAGCCTGTGGAGCATCCGGGACCCGGATCAACGCCCCCACCTCCATGACTGGACACTTATCCACAAAGTGGGGCAGGTCCCCGCAACGCCAACAGGCCAGCCCAGACCTACCCGCCGCTCTATCGGCAGGAAGTGGGTCTAGGAGTTGGCGAGGAGAGAACGGCGGAGCTGGAGAAGATGCTGGTCCCATATTCGTCCAAGCTAGCCCCCTGGGCGGAGCTCTGGGGCCAGAGAATGGCTCCTCTGCCTGACCAACCCGCCATCTGGGTGTCGGTCGAGGAGGGCCGCTCCACCGGGACCTAGGAACAGGTACAGGTTGAGAGGTAGAGATAGAAGTAGAAACAGGAGGAGGGGAAGAAAGCAAAGGGGAAGGGTGAGAGAGAGAGAGATGGATGGTAATGTTCCACCGACCCCGGGGCACGCCGAGTAGACCCACTCGGCTGTCTGCTTCGGCAGGCAAAAGATGAATTGCTCCTCTACCACCCGGTCGATGATCTGGTCGACGTCGCTTTCCCCGGCCAGCAGCCATTTGCGACACGCGTCCCGGAGCTGCTGAGCCATCACAAAGGGTCGTCCATTTTCGCCCAGATTCAGCGACCGGACCCGCTGCCGGTGTTGCTCTGGGATGAGGCCGACCCGCTGAAGGATGGCTCATTTGAGGTCATCATAGACCAGGAGATTCTGTACTGGCAGTTGAGAGGTAGAGAGCTACCTGTGCCTACCCCGTCAGCAGTGGAATCAGCCGCACTGGCCAGGTTGATTGGGGCCACCCAGATGGCTCTGCAGTCTTTTCAAAGAGTTCTATGAATGCCTCTGGATCATCAAGTGGCCCTATCTTGGCCAGCGGCAGGTGTGGGGGAGCGGCAGGGCTTGATGCAGACCCTCCAGCATGTACCTTCCGGTTCCATCCAGTTCCGGAACAGCTCGCGGTCCTCCTGCTTCGCTTGGATGAGGGAATGGAAGCGTCACTCCTGATCTTCCCTCATGTCCTTGAGCGCTTGATGATGTTCCTGATGAAGTCCCTCGCCACAGTCACCATTTATTTGAACATGAAAATGTGTATTTCATGTATTATTCATGATCCCAGAATATATTAATTCAAAAGGCACATAATTTTAATATTTCTTGAAAATAAAAATATTCATATGTGAATCTGTTGATGTTTCTGCATATTATTCTATTAAATTATACAGTACAGTTTTTCAGCCACAAAATACTATACATTGTCTATTATAATGGACTATTTATATTAACAGAAGCTTTAAACTGTATTTACTTGATAATTAGCTGTTTAAGTGTACATCAAGTTCACGCATCAGGTAAGTGGCACTGAATACATATTTGTAATTAGACTGAATTTATCAAAATGTATATATTAAAAAGTTGTAAACGTTTTATTCAAAATGTATATTATACACAAACGTACAACATATATACACATAAAAACATTGAATAAGCGTTTTATAAATTATATGTCTGAGGGAAATGAACTGTTTAAAGTTAAGGTTACGTGGTCTTTCACCTTGTTTAATTAGGGTGACCATATTTTAGTTTTCAAAAATAGTAAACTAAAAGGCTCTGCTCTGTTCCATACAGCCAGGGCTGCCAGGGCTGTGTGACAAAACTAGCCCATGCCAGACAAAAACAGCCCAAAGTAGCGCAATGACCATATCCTAAATATCAAAACTCAAAATGTCGTTTCCATACCTAAAATACAAATTTTACAGTCACTGTTGCATAAATGCATAAATGGTGGATGAAGTACCTGAAAGCCACACTTAAGTAAAAGGACAGATATCTTACCAGAAAATTACTTTTGGTAGAAGTTAAAGTCACCGTTTAAAATGTTACTTGAGTAAAAGTTTTAAAGTATGTGATATTTATTGTACTTAAGTATAAAAAGTATATATTTTTTTATATTAAACGTACTTAAGTATTGAAAGTAAAAGTACAAGTAAATGCAAAACGGAAAAGGAGCAAATAAAAAAAAAAATGTTTATACACCATTTGAGCAGCAAGATGTTCAGTTTTAACTCTTTCTTCCATTTTGTATCTTAGGGTAAGCATAAGAGCCACTTCATCCGGTAAAAAAACTCTTTCATTCCAACATTAAAAAGCATTTCTGGATTCTGAATCTGAAGTGGCATTTAGATATATTTACACAGTTTAAGCTCAGAGGGGACATGGATGCATTTAACCTGCAGTTACAAATGCATAAATAATGCTTTGTTTGAAATATAAAACATTGAATATTGATATTTGAAATGATTTAAAACATGAAAAAGTAGTTAAAAGGGGAAATTAAAACTGCCACGTGGCAGTCAACCGATTCATTCAAACGGGTGATTCATTCAGGAACTTGATTGTGTTAATGAGTGAGTCACTGAATCATTCATTCAATCGTTTCGTTCAAAAAGCTGATTCATGAAGGAAACACCGTCCTGTGTGTTGCTCAGAGACACAAAACAGCGCTGTGATCTGTGAAAAATCCATTTTATACACCATCATTTTTGTTTCTGTGAATGTGATGTGTGTGATGTGAATATATCCCCTATCGTATTCTACAACAAAAACAATCAAAGCGCCTTGTTATCACCAGCTCTATTTTGACTTCCCGAGTCCGCTATTAGCATATAGCCCGTTAGCATCGCTAGCGTGGTTGCCGCTAAAATAAATTTTGCTTGGTTGGAATAGCAGCTACGCTAATTATGTCTCTATTTGTTTGACATCCCGTGGTAACTAGGATTTACACATGCTTCAGTCTGGATCCAGAACACCTGAGAAGAGATGATGCCAACCCCTCAGAGGAGCTCAGATGATGCCAACCCTGAAACAACATACAGAACTACCACATTTTGCTATAAGTTTGATTGCATCATATAATAATTGCTGTTAATAGTGTTCATCGTCTGTTTGATTACGTCTTTAATTGATTTTTCCGTACATTTCTGCCATATGTACATTAACTGACAGTCACCACTGATAAGCTACCACTAAATATTGTAGAAATTTAATTTGCTGTAAAGTTGCTTTGCAATGATTTGTATCGTGAAAAGCGCTGTACAAATAAACTTGAATTGAATTGAATTGAATTGATCTTGTTTGGAACTATTTTCGTTGGCAAAACAGGCAATATTGTCTCAAATTTAAGTTACTTAATGCTAACTTTATTAAACTTGTATAAAATCAAATTTGTTATCATGCTGTTATCTGAAGCAAAAAATGGCACTCTTCGTGTGATATAGATTAACTATATTAAATTATATCAATAAAAAAGACATACAGAGGCATTTTTGCCACCTACAATTTAGAATGCCTTTAATTTTGATAATTCTAAATGCGTTTTAATAGATTGAATAATGTAGTGTATGCGTGCACTCTCTGGGTGTTTTTGTGATATATCCGATAATGTCAGATTGCACATTGTTAAAACAACACCATATTATCGCAGAGAGGGCCAGTGCTACCTATAGGCAGAGCAGGCAATTGCTATACACTAGTCCAACAGTCAATACAGGCAACAAAATACTAGCCTCATTGTTCATTGGATATAGTTGAATTGTCACTCAACTGCAATTAAACCAATTAATGTTGCCATTTCAAAGCAGGTCCCGCCTTCTGATTTGCCGTAATGAAGACATCCTTCAGGCAGTGTTGCCAGGTCTGTGGTTTTCCCACGGAATTGGGCTAGATTAACATTGTTGCCGCGGATTGTTTTTCAAGTCCGCAGGTTGAAGCGACCCCAATAATGTGATTTTAGCCCCTGGAATGCGAATTTTACCAGGGGAACAACTCCAAAAAATTTATATTTTACCCACCCGTAACACGATTTGTACCAGTGGAACAAACTTTTAAACTGTTGCCATGGGTTGATTTTTCCCTGTGGGTTAAAGGTATGAAATGCTGCATGAATACCATTTGACTGAAATGCTTGTATTAACATTTTGCATATGATAAAACTGTGCTAGATGTTAAGTTTTGTTAAGAGTGCACTATAGGAAGCCTTTTACAGTGGTGTACTGTAATGAAGTAATAATACTTTGTTACAGTACTTAAGTATTTTTAGGAGAATCTGTACTTTACTTGAGTTTTAATATTTCTGTCAACTTTTACTTTTACTCTTTATATTTTTATAAATATATTTAT